CAGCTGACTCAGAGCATCACCTGGTGGTGATTCCGGGAACTTTTTGATCAAGGTAGTATATATATATATATAAATATAGATAAAAATAATTTTTTTTAAGAAAGAAGAAATTTTTAATCTTAGAAATAATGAAGATTTTTCAATGACTATATATGTATATATATATATATAGAGATATCTATAGAGATATATATATGTATATATAGATAGATTCTTCTTTCTTAAAAAAAATTATTTAAATCATGTTACTCATTTTTTTTTTCTGCAATAATGACGTAATTTAAAAGTTGTCACCTTTCGGTTGCATAAAAAGAACGAAAATATAAAGAAGAAACTTATTTTAAAAACACATACTTTTATTTTTCTACAATCAGTTATTACATCAAAGTTGCATTTAAAAAAAAAATTAATATTACAAAATTTTAATAATTCAAATCATTCAAACTCATTTTTTTAGAAAACTTTGTTTTTTGAATTGTATCGTTATTGTAGCAAATAAACAATATTATTCATTAACTGAAAAAAAATCTAATCCATATAAATATCTTTCAGAGGTAATTATATTCACAAAAAGCATAATTAATACACTTAGATAAAAAAATTACACACATATATATTAAACTACATACTTATAAATTAATTAATTTAATATTAATAAACTAAGAATTCTCATTACTATGTAAATTACAAGCTATAATATTAAAGGATATCAATTAAAAAGGAGCGGCCACATATAAAAATAAGGACAAAGAAAATTTCGAGGCAGAAGCGTGCAAATTGAAAGTTTACCTCGGTATTTGAAAGGCGATTTCGTCAAGCGAGTCGCTAGGTTGTAAAGGGGCCCGTTCGAAGAGCCTGCTAGGGCCCCGATGAATCCGATTGCAGCATTGCATGGATCCAGCCATCGGTTGAGACTGGTCCGTTTGGTTGGTCCCAAGTTGTCCGCCCTGGCTGCTTCTGCCACGTTTTTGTCGCTTCTTCCGTACCTCCTCCGCCTGACGGCGCAGGTTGTGCAGTCGGAAGAAGTACATCGACATGTCTGTGCTCAGCACGCAAGTACTCGCGATCAAAAGACTGTCATGTGTTTCATTTTACGAAGTATTTTAAATGAGACAGAAGAAATACAATTTTATTATAGAATGTTTGTTATTGTTTTTGATATTAAATATTATTAAATTATTGGTATTGATTAATATTAAAGTGATTACTATAAATTTCTTTTGAATGCTATAAATTACTATAAATTTTTATACAAGTTTAGAAAAAAATTACCTATATTTCCAAAAAAAATAATTCATACATAATTTCTGTAACTATAGGTACATAAAATAATTCTTACTTTACCAACAAAATCATTTCTGTCTTTAAAGCAGAATTTTAAATTATGTAAAAAATACTTCAATTAGACAAAGATATTACGTGAGATAAAATAGTAGACTATTGCGGATTGACAATGCATGGATCAAACACGGTCTAATCTAGAAAAGGATGAATTATGTTACTTTTATGTTACTTCTCAGACAAATAACAGAATCTCTGGCACATTTCATGATCTCGTTTCAGAGAAATAGAGCGGCTGTGTTAATGAAAAGTCATTTACATGGATGTAGAAATTCGTCCGCTTGAATTTGTTCGCTACTGATGCGAAAACGTCAACACACCTATTTAATTCTTGTAATCCTTCAACTCTTGATATTGAATTTTATATAGATAAAGAATTATAAGTACTTGAAATATAGATCCAAAGAATGTGTAATTATCTGTGAGGAAAAATTATATATTTAAAAAATATGTAATAAACTCTATAAAAATGCTTTTCCTATTTAATGAAAATATCAAATAGCTTTCTTTTTTCTTCTTTTGTTTAAAATACTTCGTAAAATTAAATACTAGAATTAAACATTAATAAATATAGAAATTATGTTAAAATATATATGAACGTGATTTTTACAATAACAATTACTTGCATAGCATTCTTTCTTGTCCAAACATAGATTCTAACACAGAGCGCTATCAAGAATATTTGCATAAATAATTGTCACAATTTATTATTATATTTATCATTATTTTATTATTTAAAATATTTATAAAAACTTGGTTTATTGCTATTAGAATGTATAATTGATTATGTAGACTTGATTCCTCAATCACATAGAATTTTGTATTTAAAAAAATTTGTGTTCTTAAATACATTCTTGATTGTGCTATTATTTTTTTCGAAGCACGAGTATCAAAAAGTAATTGGAAAATCAAAGAGTACATCATGAATATTGCGTAATGAATATAAACGACTCATGCAAAACAATATGCAAATATATTACTAATCGATTATTCAAAAGTATGTTTTACATATCTATTATGTAAAAACAGTTGTCACGATTTTTTGTATCACGCTGCAACATAGATTGTAGAATCTTAAAATAGTTGAATTCAAAGTAGTTAATATCTATTCATGCTTTCTTAATAATTAATAATTCAAATAATATTGATAAAACTTACCGGTTCATTTATCAACAAGTCTATTCAAATTTCAAGGGGACAATTAAACTTGTTCTATTACTGTTAATATAAAAATACTGCGTATTTATCACAATCGAATTTAAAGCGGCATCATGCAAATAAAAGACGTCTCCATGCACATTCAATTTTTTGTAAATACAATTTATTTAAAATCATATGATCAAAATTCAATATTTCGTTACCAATGTACAATTTCCTTTTTCACAACATATTAAAAAATTGAATGTTTATAAATTTTTAATTATCTGTATAGTCATGTAATGTTAACAGATAACTTATACTGTGATTATATAAAAAACAAATATATTATATTTAGTTTATTTTATAATAAGTATATAGGGTATTCCACTTTAAATAATGCATTAAGATATCTCGAAAACTATGGTAGATATGATAGATAAAACTATGGTAGGAAAAATGTTTCAAATAACTCTTAAATGTTGTTCGGGATCATCACTTGGATAACATTTGTCAAGATGAAGGCCATTGGAGGTTGTACCTTTTATTTTCATTTTTACTTAAAAATGAATTCTTAGTGCAAAAATGAAAATAACAGGTATAACCTCCAATGACTTTGATCTTGACAAATGTCATCCAGGATATGATTCTGAACAACATTCAAGAGGTTTTAGCCGTCGATCAGACACCTTACGTAATGCTAATGCCGGCGATACTGTATTTTTCAAGCCTTATAATTCGAAAGGTACTTAATGAAAAATAACTTTATTATAGTGTTTTGAAAAGCTCTTGACACCAACTATTAAATTCTGGTATCAAAAATAGGGTGTTCCATTTAAAAAAATCGATGTGACATTGACATGACCTCAACAACGCCACCCAAGGTCAAATCAATAATATTTTCTTATGTCTCCCTTCGAACCATACAACTTTTGTTTGAAACATTTTTCTATAGCTACAATAGTTTCCGAGAAATCTTAATACATTATTTAAAATGGGACACTCTATATATGGTTATGTATATGTTGTATTATGAAATAAATTGAATAAAATATATATCTTCCTTGTATCCTTTCAGTTATATGTATATTCTTAATTTTATATTATATTTTATAATCTCAAATCATGAAAATTAAAAATATAAAAAATTAATTGTTAGTTAAATCATTTAAGTAGATAAAACCAAAATGGATAGATGTCAGAATAAATTCAATAAAACTTATTTTCAATGAAGCAACAACAAATATAAATAATAACATGTCTCTTAGAAAATAAAAGTTTGACAGTTATGCGAAAAGAAGTTTAATAATGGCCTCATAAAAACCTTAAAAAATCTCATTAATTCCGAATTCCATTATTAGCACACAAATTTGCAAAGTAAAAAAATTTTTTATTAGCTGATTAAGATAAATAAATTTAATCAGATAGCATTTTTATATGGAAGAAATTTTGAAGTGAAACAATTATTGAAGTCTTAAATTATATTAAAGTAATGCCAAAATCGATCGGAAAATTTTGTTTCTTCTTTGCTATTGTCTCGCGTACTTTTTATTCATAGAGAATAGAATCTTCATTAGAGAATAGAATTATTATTATTAGTAAATAATTCTACATATATAAAATTTTTATATAAAAAATGATCAATTTATAAGAAATATGTAATTTATATGTATACGTTACTAAATATATATATTATATTTTCGTATATTTTAATAAAGATTTTGTACTTTTATTAACAATTTTTCAATTGCGATAACTGCAAAACTTGTGTAACAGAGTAGCATTGCGAAAACAGAAAATGGCATTCAAAGCTATAGATATATGTACATCTATCATATTGTGAGGAAAAAAAAGTAATGAGATAACCCGCCCAGTAATATCGTAAATTCATATCCGCAGGCATCTTCATTTTAACCCGTGTGAGGGTGAAAATGTTGCGTAGAATCTCATTCTTCATCTTTGTAGCAAACGACTGTTTTACGAGCACCGTTCTCTTTTTCTCTTTCGCGCTTTCCATGAGGATGCTCCATACTATTTGAGTTGAAGTCAGATAAGTTCAAAATTACAATCAGAAATTAAGTCATTCTGAAAAACTGATCGAGTAGGGTAAAGCGGGGCTAATTGTGACACTTTTTCTTTAAATTATTATAAATCTTCACACAATTATGATAGATTAATGGTAAATGCTTTAAAATGTTGCATGTTCATCTGGCTCAATAATTAAATACTTATAAATCCTTAATATATCTCGTAAATAAGAAAAAAATTACGTTAATTACAAGAATGCAAAGTGGACCAATACGCCCCATCTATGGGGCATGTTGAGCATCCTCAAAGGATAAATTGAGCCATGAAGGTAACCGTTTAATGAGGTTATATATTATTAAAAACATGAAAGGATTATATGTATATTAATCAAATTTTTATTATTTGCATCTTAAATATAATAATTTGTAATAATCTTTCTTTTTAAATGCTTTAATTAACATAATTAGAAAAACTAAAATCTTTACTTTTTATAATAATAATTAAACGTAAAATATATGTTTAATCGTTGACATAGAATAAAAAGCATTGATAAAGACAGATTTCATTTAAGCAGCTGAGTTTATAAGGTTAGTTATGAGGTACTGGCCCAACAAGCCCCATATCGGTGTTGACTGAAATACTTTTTTATAACTGAAAAACCGTAAATAAAATAGCAATTTAAACATTAAAGTTAAAAAATACGATAATAACTTATATCTAAAAAACACATTTGATTATTATCAATCGCTCTAATTACCATGTAGACCAAAAAGAATACTCACCTAATAATTTTACTTTTGATATACAAAAACGAAAAAACGTACGTATCTGGCTGTTGATAGCCGGACACAGATTATTGTATTAAGGTACAATAATCTCTGTCTTTGTGCTACATTACGCAAGCATACACGTATCTATATATATTTTAGTTATTTAGATATTTGCATTTGACCAACTTGCCCCTATGCTCAAATAGCCCCGCTCTACCCTACTACAACTAGCTTTCTTCAAAAAAGTTGAAGAAAACAATTAAGTCTACCACAATATGTTAAAATATAAATGTGTGTATATATATTAGACAACAATAAAGAAATAAAAAAAAATTTTTCAAGAATAAAAGCTTTATCTATCCATCTTAAAATATAGATAACTTTAAATTATCTAAATTTCTCTTTCCGAACAAAAATTAACAAACGCACAATAAAGTAATCTTTTAACATCGTTTAAAATATATTGCCAAACAATATTAGTAAATGACAAAATCAATAACAGAAATACTCTCTTAAGCATTATAAAAAACAAATTGCAATTCAGATCAACTGTCAGCTAACATGATAAAATCCAATTGATATTTTTTATCTATTTCACGTATAAACACAAAAGATCTTTATGTTTATCATCGCTATTAAAATGATCTTTTCATACGTATATGTATATATATGTATTTTCAGCATTTACAAATTTATATAATACAACTCATACTTTGAATAGACTTTCAATAGGGCGATTTTATTAGATGGAAATCTAAATT